CCACCTGTCGGTGGGCGGTCTCCCAGGAGCCTCGGCCTCCACAGGTGAGTGTCGGCTCGCCCGGGGCTCTGGGGACCCCCGGCCCCCGTGGCAGAGTCGGTGAGGGACCTCGGGGCCTGGGTGCGAGGCCGCTGCGCATCCTGCTGGGAGCCAGCCCTGGTCTGCGCGGAGGTGTGAGGTCCTTGCTATTGTCCTTGACACCTGTGGCTTCGGTGACGGTCCCCTCACCTGATCCCTCCCGTCCAGCAGGGACTCGGGGGGCTCCCGAAGACCCCATCTCCAGACCGGTGCCATTAGAGAAGTTTCTGGCCAGGAGGACATGTTTCTATTCTCTTGTTGACGGGTCCTCTCCCGCATCCGTCCCCGCTCCCGTCCCCGCAGTCCCCACCCTAGAAGAACTCCCGATAGGTTGGTGTGACGTGGTTGCGGATGTTGTTGCTTGTTTAGTTTATCCCGGGACCGGGGAAGTTCACAGCCCTTTTTGTTTAGAGTTGGCATCTTTTAAAAATGTTACCCCTCGAAACATTTGGTTCATGTAGTATCGTATGTGACGTCGGAGTTCGAGGTAAACGTGGATCTGTAAGTGCCTCACGGTGCATAAGCTCAAGCCCGTATGGGACCTCCGGTAATTTTCTCTTTAAACTGCCAAGTGCCAATTTTATGTCAGTTACTGAATTCCAGCAGCAGAGTATTACACCCGGCTCTCTTGAAAGACGTGTGCACGTCTCCCTCTTTGAAATCAGGCCTGTGGTCGCTGCCGGAAACCTTCCCGAGTGTTTGGGAATGTGCCCTAGACCCCTGGCTGCCACACGGTAACGAGGCCGGAACACGAAGGTGTCAGGAAAGGCTCTCGGTGTCCGTCATGCCTGCAGGTGTCAACGAAGCCCTGTCTCCGCGAAATCAGAGTTCTCACACACGGAAAGAGCGGCGACATGTTTTTCTTGTATTGATCCTAGTAACTGGTGGCCCCGTGCTATGGCTCTAAGCCAGCGGTTCTCAACCTGTGGGTCGAGACCCCTTTGGGGGTCGAACGACCCTTTCACAGGGGTCGCCTAAGACCATCGGAAAACACATATAATTACATATTGTTTTGTGATTCATCACTATGCTTTAATTATGTTCAATTTGTAACAATGAAATTGGGGGTCACCACAACATGAGGAACTGTATTAAAGGGTCGCGGCATTAGGAAGGTTGAGAACCACTGCTGGAGTCTAAGCAAAAGGCAGTGCCCGTCAACTTCCCAACAGTCCTAGGCGATGAGGAGCGACACCGAGTTCCTCGATGGCCGTGGTTATTCAAGAAGCGTCCACCTTTTATAGATTCAGCACTAGGCATGCTGGGGAGTCTGCAGTGGTTTCTGCATCTCGTTTCGAACCTGGTATCACAATTCTGACAGGTCCCCAGGATTAGAGAATCTGGTAGAATTTACTGTATTAACTGTTGAATTTCTGTGTACAACAATGTTTGCTTCTTGTTCTTTTTTTTTCTTCTTCTTAGTTACTTGACTGGTTAAAAAGATAGTGTATCATTTCAATTCTGCGACCCAGTTAGAGGGCATGCAGGAAGCAACCACTGGATGTGTGTCTCTCATATAGATGTTCCTCCTTCCCTCCCTCCCTCCTTCCCTCTCTCCCTCGCTCCCTTTAACTCTCTTTGAAAAAAATCAATGGAAAAAATCCTCCGGTGAGGATTAACAAACAAATATAATGTATCAGATCAAAATGGTCAGTGTTGATATAAGTAGATTATGCTTGTAGTGTTTATTGATGTGGCTTTTAAATTACATTTAACTCATGTTCACTGATTTATTTTTGCATTGTTCAAGGTAAATGTAAAAAATACATACATTTAATATATGTATTTTTTTCTGAGCAGGTTGTTTTTCATTGCTTTTTTTTATACAAAGAACTTGCTTGTGCTTCTTGGGTATTTATCATATGATGATTATAAGAGTAAGAAAAATGGGTGTCATGCTATAATTGGTCATGGGTTGCTCATTTATTGCTTATTCATAATCATCAGTGACTGACTGTCAATTAGCATTATTGTTGCTTTCATATTCTAGACATGAGCATACTGAAAATTGCTTAACATTGTATTGTCACTTTTAAAGTTACATACATTTGGTTTACTGAAATGCCTTAGGAATATACATTATTGAACTTTGTTTTTATTTTAGGACATCAGTTTTGCAGATATTTTTAACATTGATGCTGATTTTTTAATCTGTGCTAAGCAAGGAAAAATACACCTAGAATAAATAAAATGATACCCCTTTCACTAAACTGCAAGGATTTCAGAGTCTCATTCCATCTTATTTTTGTCTTCAGTTAAATTCCTTGCAACTCAGTAGGTGCTCTGTAAATATTTTTTGAATAACCTATGCACATTATGGTAAAAACTGAAGTATAAGTGGAGCCCTGTCTAAGATTCCTTTAAAGATGAAGTGAATAAGGTATACTTTTTATTGATCTTTTACATTGCTTTTTTTTTTTTTTTAGTCTCTATGTCATTTATTTCTGCTCTGATCTTTATTATTAAGGTATCCTTTTTAGATGTGAAATAGGGAAGGCCCTGAGTTTATTGTTTTGGAAGAGAAATCTTTGAATTAAAATATTTGGATCTATTGCCTGTTTTTCAGTGTCTTTGATCACTTCTTTTCCCTAATCCTAGAGGAGAAAAAGACACTTTAAGTCTCTTTGTGGAGACACTGTACCACATCAGAATTAAGTTTGCTAGAAATTTTATAGTGAGTGTTTAATTTTTAAAAATTTGACTTTATTACTTGAATTAAAATTTTATGGGGTATTGTACGTAGTTTTAAAAAATTAGTTTAGCCATTAGCTGAATCATAAATACTCAAGTCATGTAAGAAAAAGGGTGGTTCTCATAGACTTATATAAAGGAAAAGCTTGCTGTGAGGTGAAGCAGGCATCAGCACTTAAGGTTATTTTTTTCTTTAATAACCTCTGTAAGTCAAGAGTCTCAATTTTTGGACAATCTCATTTTCTTAAAACTTTTTTTAATTGATTTCAGAGAGGAAGGGAGAGAGAGAGAGATAGAAACATCAATGAGGAGAGAGAATCATTGATCGGCTGCTTCCTGCACGCCCCCCCACTGGGGATTGAGCCTGCAACCTGGGCGTGTGCCCTTGACTGGAATTGAACCTGGGACCTTTCAGTCCGCAGGCTGACGCTCTATTAACTGAGCCAAACCAGGTAGGGCTGGACAATCTTATTTTTATAAGTGTTTTTAATTAATTGAATCAGTAGGTAGTGTTTACAGTTCATGGTGGTTAAATTTTGGTCTATAGGCTTTTCTTGAAATATATTAATTTCTTTATATATTACCAGTTATTGTGCTCGTTAGACCCAGTTTCTGTCCTCCTGAGTGTAATTTAGTAATGATAAGGATATATTCTTGAAAGTTGGAGAATCTTACATTTACAGGGCTGACATTTATTTGAGAAGAATAATGTCTTTGGTTCAGAGACTACTAAAAGAACCGGGAGAATTATTTTTGTCTAACATTTAGTCAGCTAAGGATATTTTGATACTATTTTCAGTAAACATGTCGTTACTTTGATAACCAAGAATTTTTCAGGTCATTTGTTAATGTGGCCTTGGATTGACTTTACTTTTTTGTTTGTGAGAAAGAGTCAATTCATTGGCTCCTAAGGAATTTTATCTGACTAGAAGGAAATATTCACAACACAGAGAACCTTCAAAGAAGGCCTGGAGTGCATTTGTGTATTTTAGGCCATTGACTCATGGCCCTTAAAAAAAAAAAAAAAGGACCACACATATATAAGTAACAACTTAATTTAGATTTTTATTATTTTAAATGGGGAACGGGAAGAAAGATCAGGAGAAAGTCTATTAAGGGAAAGAGGGAGGGAGAGGGGAAAGGCATGAGAAGCCTGATATACAGGCTCATCCAGATCTGTGCAGCTGGCCTCAGCTGGCCTCTATGTTGCCGAGACCAGGTGTCACTGTCGGGCATGTAGTTTCAGGGCAGAGGCAATCACAGCGCTGGTAGGGCTGATTTGAGGGTCAAGGAATGCAAGTGCTGAGGGTAAAGAGCTGGACAAGGGTAAGAAATTTTAATAGTTAAGACAAAAACTTGGCACTGTTCATTCATTTAAAGATTAATTGAGTATCTGCTGTGTGCCAAGCAGAGGTAACAGAAAGCTGTGTTCACTGGTCATGGAGCTTTTATTAAGATAGAATATTACCTAAGTGATCCACAGAGTTGTTATTTTGGTCATGGGATTTTTTCTTTCTTTTTCTTTTGGATCTCAGATGCCCAGTCTTGAGTTACTTATAGACCTCATTTCATAGCTGTATAGCAAATTACCCTAAACCTAGTGATTTAAAACAACAGACATTTATTACTCACGGTTTCTTTGGTCAGGCTCTGGGCATGGCTTAGCTGGGTACTTCTGATATAGAGTCATTCATGAGCTGTAATCAAGGTATCTGGGCTGTAGTCATCTCAAAGCTCAACAGGGAGGATCCGTTTCCAGGCTCCCTGCACGGCACGTAGTACTTGGCAGGATTCAGTTCCTCTGGGCTACTGGAATGAGGCCCTCGATTCCTCACTGGTTGATGGCCTGGGGCCCTCCTCCAGTTCTTTGCATGTACAGCCTCTGCACTGGGCAGCTCTCAGCAAGGTAACTGGTTTCCCTTAGAGTGTTCCAGCAAGAGACAGTGAGGAAAACGGAAGTCACAGTCTAATCTCAGAAATGATGTTCTGTTATTTTGCATGTTCTGTTTTTTATAAGCTCACATTCAAGGGGAGGTGAGTACACATGGGTATGGATACTGGGAGACAGAGGTCCTTGAGAACCATTTCAGAGGCTCTCTGTGATTATCAATGGATAGAAGGCTCTTCTTTTGTTGTATTTATTTTTTGTTTCTTTCCTATTCTTCATCTTCTTTCTCCACTCATATTTCCCTATCTTATCCTCCACAGACACTTCAATATACTTAATATATATATTCTCAGGTGTGTATGTAGTCTTTAAAAAAGTGTTTTATATAGCACATATAAGTAAATATAGCGTTTTTTAAAATCCTCACTGGAGGATTTTTTATTTTAGAGAGAGAGGAAGGGGGAGAGAGAAAGAGAAATATCGATGTGAAAAAAAGAAATATCGCTGGGCTGCCTCCCATACACACTCTGACCGGGGATTAAACTCTCAACCCAGGTATGTGCCCTGACTGGGAATTTAACCCGCAACCCTTTGGTTTTCGGGACAACTCTTCAACCAACTGAGCCACCTGGCCAGGGCAAATATAGCTTATTTTAAATTTACAAAATGTATTAGAATTTACATCTTGGTCTATGTCTAAGATTTTTTTTCTGCCCAACCTTGTATTTTGATGAACTATCCATGATGCTATTTGTAAAATTTGCTTCCATCTGCTATGTGGTATTCCATTGTATGTATCCACCACTCTTTGTATCCATTTCCCTAGGTAGATTGCCTCCAACTCCTTGATTTCCCAAACAGTTAATGTCATTAACATCCCCAAACAAGTCCCTTACTGGATCTGTGTGAGACTTTCTCTCTGTGATATTTACAGAAGAGTGGGATTGCAGGGCCATCGGATGTATGCATACATGATTCCCCTTAGTACTGCCAGATTGCTCTCCAAAATGACTGTACCAGTTTATACCCACAAATTATATGTGCAGGTTCCCTCCCCCCCAAATCCTTGGAAATACTTAATATTATTGGATTTATTATTATTATTATTTTAAATCTGGTAAATGTAAAAGGGGTGTCTTCTTGTTCTTATTTGCATTCATCTGTTACTAGTATCTGTACTTCTTAGCCAGCTTGAGTTTTCCCTTCTATGAATTGTCCTTAATGCTCTCTACCCATTCTTGTGTGAAGTCCCTTTGTCCATTAGTGAGAGGAATTGTAAGGATGGATTTTCTGATCTTAAGTTTTTCTTGCATTCCTGTGATAAATCTTCCTGATCATGGAGAAGGGGAAGGGGAGGAAGAGAAAGAGAGGGAGGAAAGAAAGGAGGGAGGGAAATAGAGTTAGTTGACACTGTTAGCTAACATTTTATTTAGGACTAGAGGCCCGGTGCATGAAATTCATGCACAGGTAGGGTCCCTAGGCCTGGCCAGCGATCAGGGCTGATCAGGGCCTTCTGCTGCCAACCAGGGCCTTCCTTTGTTCCGTGCCACCCCCTGGTGGTCAATGCATGTCATAGCGAGCAATCGAACTCCCGAGGGGACACTGCATATTAGCCTTTTGGTATATATAGATTACTACTTCTTCATACATAATTGAAATGGGCTTTGTATTCTTACTCAGTTTTGAAATTTTGAAATTGAGGTGATCCCAGCCTCAGAAAAAAGAGTTAGTCAGTTTTTCTCTTTTTTTTTATGGATCAACTTTTATGTGATTGGAATTACCTTCTTTTCTATTTAGAAGGTAGGTAAAAGCCTGCCCATAAAAAAAAATCTCTCTGGGCCTGGAGGTTTGTTTTTTTAAAAAAATATATTTTATTGATTTTTTTTACAGAGAGGAAGGGAGAGGGATAGAGAGTTAGAAACATCGATGAGAGAGAAACATCGATTAGCTGCCTCCTGCACACCCCCTACTGGGGATGTGCTCACAACCAAGGTACATGCCCTTGACCGGAATCGAACCTGGGACCCTTCAGTCCACAGGCCGATGCTCTATCCACTGAGCCAAACCGGTTACGGCAAAAGGGGGAGGTCTTTTATTAAAATTTCCTTTTCTAGGCACTAAGAAAAAAAGAAAAGGGTGCTGGGCTTGCATTTGCAAGGGTGAGCAAGGATTGGCCAGGACAGTGGAAATCAGAAAGGGCACAGCTAAAAAACTCTCACCTGGCCCTGTTTACCTGTGGGCTGCCTTGGACCTCCCACACACAAAGACCCCATCACCATCTGTCAGTTCAGTTGTTTTTCAGAATTTTATGTTTAATTCTGGGACTCATCAACCTTCTGTGAAGTAACTGTTATTCTTCTAGGATTGGTTTTCAGGAAGGGGGCCAGCAGTTATTTTGGTGTCTGTCTTGCCTTGTATATAGGAATTGAACCTAATAGCTGAGATTAAAGATGTTTGAGTTTGAAGTTCCTAATACATATCCTAATACATAATACATGACATGTATTAATCAGGTCTAACTGGGTAAAGGAACAACAATTGTTTAAAGAATGAGAACTATCAGACTGGCAGAAAATAGAAGCCTGAGGTGGTTGCTGTGATTTTGACATCCCTACTTCTCCCTGGGGTTGTTGTGATCCCATCTCACTCTAATCTCTGTCCTAAAGAGCATAGAACCCACCCCCTTCTTCTCTATTATGGCATTGCTGGTTTTTAGCTCTTCCACCTACCAACATTTCCCATTAATCTTGCTTCTTTAAAAAATATTTTTAAATTTATTTCAGAGAAGAAGTGAGAGGGAGAGAGAAAGAGAAACATCAATGATGAGAGAGAATCATTGATTGGCTGCCTCCTGCACACCCCACACTGGGGATTGAGCCGGCAACCCGGGCATGTTCCCAGACCAGGAATTGAACCATGACCTCCTGGTTCATGGGCCAATGCTCAACCACTGATTTGACCAAAGTGGCAGAATTAGAATTGGAACCAACATTTTTCTAACTTCAAAACACACATGCTTTCTGCTGTTCTACTAGTACAGTGGTCGGCAAACTCAGTCAACAGAGCCAAATATCAACAGTACAACGATTGAAATTTCTTTTGAGAGCCAAATTTTTTAGGAAGGTACATTGTTATTAACTTAAGTAGGGTACTCCTAAGCTGGCCTTTGCTAAAAACGTCCTCAATCTGATTGAGGTACGTTCGCTGAGGTCGACCCCTTCTAACTCTCCCATCCACACTCATCTTCTATACTTGTTTTGTCTATCCTTTCGTTCATCCTCTCTATATGTCTAAACCATCTCAACATACCTTTCTCAGTCCTCGACACTACATCTTCTTTCACTCTACAACGTTCCCTAAAATTAACTTAATAAAGTCTCAATCGCACTGTAGAACATTTATAGACTTCTAATAAATTTTATTCTAGCAGATAATTCACATTGAAAGAGACAAAGTTCTTGCTTTTTCTGATACATGTTTGTGGCTTCTCTCCTCCACCAGAAAGACTATCATTTCATATTTTGCAGGAGGGATGCACGTGGTATTTTGTGGAAGAGCCACACTCAAGGGGCCAAAGAGCCACATGTGGCTCGCGTACATTGCCTTCCAAAAACTATCTAACATTCTTCATTTGTTCTGTAGATATTCAATAATACTTATTTGCCATACACTGAGGATACAGCCTCACACCTTCCAGATGCTAATCCTACTCCCAAATAACTTGGTCTAATAGAGAATAGACATATCAGTAACTATAATTCAAAGTAGACAAGTGTCTTGAGATGAATCTCCCAATAAAGTGCCAGGGGACTTTAGGAGGGGGAGGGTTTATGTTGAACGGAGAATTTCAGAGGTAGATATACAGGGACAACTGCCATCTCACCTGGGCTTTGATACATAGGTAGCGTTTGGCTTTGGGAACTAAGGAATTTCTTTGAAGGATTGAAAATAGCATGAGCAAATGTATAGAGGTGGAAAGTGCAGTATGTATGTGCTTGTGAGCTTCTGGAGGGAGCCCTACTTTTAAAAAATTCTTCGTGGTACTTATTTTTAAGAGATATATAACATGAAATGTTTCTTCTTTTCTTGTTTAGCTTACATGTGAGCATGAGTCTTCTTATGATTAGTGAGAATGTAAAATTGGCTCGTGAATATGCGTTGCTGGGAAACTATGACTCTGCGATGGTCTATTATCAGGGAGTTCTTGACCAAATGAACAAGTATCTATACTCAGTCAAAGATACATACCTCCAGCAGAAATGGCAACAGGTGAGAATCATGACTTATGTATCTTTTAAATGATTAAATACTCAGGAGATTTCAATTATCAGTGCTTTTTGCAGTTACACATTGAGAGTGTATCATTTGTTACATGGATTTGTATATAATGTTACTTGAAACTTGATTTATTATATTAGTAATAGTCTATATTCACCATCATCAGTATTATAAGCTCTATTTAATTATTTTAATTGTTGGAATCTAATATTTTTTAAGTAATGGTTTTCAATTTTTTTCATAGATCATGTTTTTATCTGGTAAAATTAGAGTTGACTTTATTAAGCCATTTTTGAGACTGCAGATGATACCTGAATCTCATGGATGTCATATTTTCTATAGAACAGGATAAAACAGACCATATTTGAATTCCATTTGAGGAACATTAGTCACTGAAGACCAACAGAAATTCACAGGTGGAAACTGTAGAACTTATAGGTACAGTTGAAGATGGCATTTATAATAAGGTTCAACTATGTCACAGAGGAAAGAAATGTTACAGAAATTAAGTCTTTTTGAGCTGGTCTTCTAGGTAGAATAGTATTCTACTGAACTGCTTTTTTTTATAGTATTCCATATTTGTCCTTAATTTCTTTAAAAGAGAAAATATCCTACTTTTTAAAATGTAACCTATTTTCCTAAATCTGCCTCTGCATATCTCTGACGTTACTGGAAGGGGAAAATATTTCATAAGGAGTTTTGCTTGTCACTGAAAGACTTGTAAGACCTTTTGTTCTTAGGCCAGAGAATTTTACTTTAAAAGTCTAAGCGTTTTTGTAAAGATACTTAAGTCATTTAGGTTTAAGACAAAACATTACCAACTTCATTTCAGTGTTTCATATATATATATGCATAGTTTTTAAATTGAGTCAAGATATCTTTTAAAAAACATCTTGGGGCCCTGACCGGTTTGGCTCAGTGGATAGAGCGTCGGCCTGTGGACTCAAGGGTCCCGGGTTCAATTCCGGTCAAGGGCATGTACCTTGGTTGCGGGCACATACCCAGTGGGGAGTGTGCTGATCGATGTTTCTAACTCTCTATCCTTCTCCCTTCCTCTCTGTAAAAAACCAATAAAATATATTTTAAAAATATTAAAAAAATAAAATAAAAAACATCTTGGTTGTATGTGAATCGAGCCATTTATCTTCTGAAGCCAAATTGCATTCCACTAGTGAGTTATGAAATTAGTGGATTCTAATCAGCATTTAAAAATTGTCAAATAGCATTTAAAAACCCATCAAAGCACAGCTTACAAAAATATTATTTTATCAAACTTTAAAGTTACATCTAACTTTTTAATTTGTTATGCAATTTGAATAAGAACCATAAGTCAGTAACATGGCTTAATTAGCCCAAATATTTAATTCATTTTATCAGAATTAATTTTGCAATTGAAAACAAAGAATTAATGAACCATTATTAAAATCTTAACAATATCTTGGTGTGATTTATTGAATATTTGATGTCAAAATGGAGGTTTCTTTTTTAAAAATTGATATTTAGAGAGAGGAAGGGAGGGAGGGAGAGAGAGAAAGAGAGAGAAACATCGATCGACCGCCTCTGCATGTGTCCTGACCGGATATCAAACCTGCAAACTGGGTATGTGCCCTGACTGGCAATCAAACCCATCACTTTCTGGTGTACTGAATGATGCTCAAACCAACTGAGCTACACCGGCCAGGGCTGTGTAGTTTTCTAACATCTCTAATAAAAGGCACTAGTTTAATCTTGACAGTGATTTATCAGTTATAAAAATTTAAATAGCTATATTTTCCTTTGAAACCATCAGGTGTGGCAGGAAATAAATGTGGAAGCTAAACATGTTAAGGATATCATGAAAACACTAGAGAGCTTTAAATTAGACAGCTCTCCATTGAAAGCTGCACAACATGAGCTTCCAGCGTCTGAGGGAGAAGTCTGGTCCTTGCCTGTACCTGTTGAACGAAGGTAAGTAGAGACCTTTTAAGAAAGACATGCCTTTTGGGGGGAAAAAAAGTTTATTCACTCCTGTCTTGTATGCAGTTATTGCCGTGGCTTCTTTAGTTCATGGACTTTTATACACTATTTGTGTTCATCTCTATTTGGACCAACTCCAGGGGTTGATTATGATTTTAATGATGTTGTGCTTGATTAGACCCTCACCAGGTCCTAGAAAACGCCAATCTTCTCAAAACAGTGACCCTAAAGCACACAGTAACCGTCCAAGTACAACTGTCAGAGTTCACCGTCCATCTGCACACAATCTTCAAAATGACAGAGGGAAAGCTGTGCGTTGCCGGGAAAAGAAAGAACAGAATAAAGGAAGAGAGGAAAAGGTAAATGTTACTGATTTTTAGAAATGAAAAAGTTATGTTTTAACTTTAAAAATGAAGTCTGTACAGATTTTAATAATTTTTAGTCATTAAAACTGCCAGACTATGGCAGATCTCTCCTTGTGCCTGATAATTCACTAGAGAGCTCACAGAACTCAGGAAAACAGTTCACTTATTGATTGCTGGTTTATTACAAAGGATACTGCTCAGGAGCAGCTGGACGGAAGAGATGCATAGGGCCAGGAATGAGGGAAGGGACACAGAGCTTCCAGGCACTCTCCAGATTAATTAACTCTTTTAATTGAGACAGTGGGTTTGGATTTTGCATTTATAATTTTGCCAGCTTTTAAAATAATTGGTTTTAAACCCAGGGACTTATATCCTGGTTAATTGGTCCATCTTCAACTTCATTTTGAGCATCAAAAAGGAGTCTACATTTTAAAAAATCTCTCTGCTGCTTTCTTTTACCTCCTAGTAGCTATTAGTATGTTAATTTAGAGCAAGTTATTGCATAGATGTATACTTAAAGAGAATTGTACTAGTTCAGCTAAATCGATAAAATCCTATTAAAAATGTCAAAATTTGAAATTCCATACCTTCTCTTTCCTGACCTATTATAGAATTGTTTCTCCTTTCTGCCTAGCTTAAATCTGTTTTGCTTTGGCTACAAACATTTCCTCAGCATTGTGTTCTGTGGGAGAAAAGAAAGTGAGAACTAGAAAGTGTCTTCCATATGTATCTTCCTGGGCTTACAGTGTACTTTTCCAATAGTCAAGGACAGTGTCTTCTTTCTACCCCCACAGCTGCTAGCACAGAACAGATTCTTAGTAGATAATCTCTGAGTGAATAACAAGTTCATAAATACTTAGAAGAAAAGATAACCTCCTCTTTTAAATGTTAAACAATGCCTTCCCTATACCTTTTTTTTTTTTAAATATATTTTATTGATTTTTTACAGAGAGGAAGGGAGA